AAAATGTTTGTTATAATCATGTCTTGTGATTATTTGACAGGAGTTTTACTTTTAAACTGTAAGTGTATTTAATTTAGGTATGTTAGCTATGATAGTTAAGTTATAATGCAAATACAATACAAGTTAAAACAAGATTTATATTAGAATAATTATCATTTTGATCCATACATTGTTAACGTCTGACTGGGCCTCGTGTCACTTTATGTTCAACAAATTGGGCCTCGAGGTCAAAAAGGTTGAGAACCCCTGTTTTAGACCATGGGCCTTCATATGAAGACAGGTGTGTCGTCTTTCCAAATCACATTCAATCTGCTGAATTTACCAACATAGAACTCAATCAACTCTGGGTATCTTCATTTGATTTCATTTAAAGTTCTATTGATCTTTTCTTACACTGAATAAATACAGTTTAATTACAGACGTGCGTGTTTTCCCACATGACACCAGACTGTGTTACACTGTATTATCTTGGCTTTTGGGGGATTGTGCTTTGTTTGGGTGTGGCCCAGCCTGCAGATGGAGTTACGCTGCACATAGCTGGAACAAAGCCAGAAGTGAAAAAATGCAGGCCTCAGGCCAGCAGAGAGCCTCTGCTGACTTCACTCACTAACCTGCTCAGTGCACCGGGGCTCGGGTTCTCTCTTGTCACAAAATGAAATGTTGTCAACTAATGCTGGGAATGATTCAGAAATACCAGTTTCAATCTGGAACTGGTATTTCTGAATCATCCATTCATGAAACAAACTTTACCAGCTTGGAAAACATTATTTTTTTAAAGTTAGGACCAACAGTTTCTTATGTAAAGACAAAGTATTCCTTGAAGGAGTGAATATGACCTGCTACCTTTGATGCCAAAGGATTGATGAGCTCATARCCTATAACCTTTAAAACAACATTACAACAGTTTCAAGTGATGAAAGGAAATCTCATGGGATCCTTTAAGCCTGATTTGTGCTTTACTTCACAAGATGAAGGACATTTTTTATACTCATAGGGAAACTGCGAGGGTTAACTCCTGGTAAACCAAAACTGAAACAAGATAGTAGCTGTGTTTCCGTTACAAATGTGCGCAAAACTTTGTCGATATTCTGTTAATGTCGAAAAAACACAGTTTCACAACTGCAGTGTTTCCATTAAGTAAGAAATGTTATTAAAGTCACGTGAATACGTTTGTTCTCA